ATGAAGTGGGCGGGCATCGGGAGGCCACTATGGCACGGGGCAAGCACTATGGGCAGTCTATCTGAAGTGTACCTGGCGTATAAGACGATCCCCCACTTGGAGGCATATTTTTCAGGGCCAAAAAATCGTCTTATACGCCGGCAAATACGGTACTTATTTGTTGAGCATCTACTATATACAGGTGCCTGTGCTAGTCATAGGATATGAAAACTGGTGAAAGAAAAAAGAACTCTGCCCTCGTGGAGCTTACAATCTAGAGCGGACAGATATTAATGAGAATCACACGAATACATATAAAATTGCTGCAGTGGTAAGGACCAGAAGGAGTGGTAAATGTTTTATGAGATGTTGACCTAGACATGGAGGTCAGAGGCTTCCTGAGACTAGAAGGGGCAAAGGGTGCGGGGGAGGAGAAAAGAAGAGAGAGCAGCATGTATAAAAGCCTTGGCACAAGAGAATACAGGGTCTACTGAGGAAGAACAACAAAAAGATTTAAAAATTAATGGTGTAGGTAGAGCAAAGAAAGTAAAGGGGAGGATAGCAATGGATGAAGCTGGGGAGGTGCCCACTGGGATACACAGGCCATGGTAATAAGGGTTTTGGTCTTGAATAAAAGTAATGAAAAGCTACTAAAATAGTTTAAGTAGGGAGTAAGTGGGTGGGATGTAGCAACATGATCAGATTTTTTTTAAATAAAAAAGATGGACTATTGTGATTTGAGACAACATAGATAGATCTTGAGAGTACTATGCTAAGTAAATTAAGTCAGATGGAAAAGGACATGAACTGTATGATTTCATTCATATATGGAATATAAAACAAAAACAAACAAATGAGCAAATATAAAAACAAACTCATAGATACAGACAGATTTTTAACAGATCAGTATTATTGTATTCAATTGTGACCTTGTAATACGGAGATAAAAGTTTCAATAAAATTTGGAGGGAAGGAAGGAGAAAAGAGCTGGGAGTCCAGCAAGTGTGACATTAGGGAGAGAATGTAAAGAAATGTTGGGAGGCTAGAAGCCTCTGTGGACTAGTTATTTACTCTTCAGTGATCAGTTTCCTATCTGTAAAATGGGTTAATAGTACTTACCTGACTGTGTGTGTGTGTGTGTGTGTGTGTATTAAATGAATTAAGAAATGTAAAGAAGTTAGAACAATGCCTGGAACATAACACTGAGGAGATGTTAGATATTACTAATATATTCTAAGAGTTCGGCACAAAGAGGTGAGAAATGAGGTGGAATTGTTTAGAGACAATAGAATAAAAAAAGCATGCTCTTGTTAAGGTTAAGGCATCTCTGATGCTAGCAGGAGGAAAGGTTGACCAGATGGCATGGTTGATGTTGGCTATCTACAGTCGCCCATACCTTTGGTGGTTCTGTGGTCATCTTGATGCTGGCTTGCAAGATTGAGATTGGGAAGTCGGGGTGGGGGCTAGAGCTGAGCCAGAGGCGGAAGGAAGGGTGAGGATCCTCCACCTGCAGTTGCTCCACCAGTTTGTCCAGATTAGGCATCCAAGACAGTGACAGGTGGCAGTTAGCCAGGAACACCCAATGTCCTGCAAGGAGATGCTGGATTCAGTGGTACCCATTCCTTAAGGCCCCTCTGTCACCACACTTTCCACCTGATGGTGTGTGTGTGAGGAGGGAGGCATCCAAATGCTCAGGTCTGCCATTCCTTGGGCCTTCTGGAGAAGTGGGAGCTGCAGTTATGGTAATGCGATTGAGGTTGGAGGTTCTGGGGAGTAGACAAGGGCCAAAAATAGGGATAAAAGAACAGGAATAACACTGACCCTGAATCACACCCTCTCGAAGGAGCCGAGCAGCAATGGGGGCCTGGCCCTGGCCCAAGGACAGGGCATGGAAACGCTGGGCCATGCCTGTGTTCTCTGCCAGCTGGAGCAGGGCACTGGTGGGGTCCACACCAGGGGACAGGATGAATACCAGTGGAGTTCGTGGGGTTGAATCCTCTATCACCTGCCAGAAACACAGGGTATGGCCTCAGGCAGAAGGCCCCATAACACAAGTGGGAGAAAGAGATTGAGGAAATGCATATGGTAGATTGGAATGGGGAGAGGGAGGCAGGAAGGACCCAGGGGTCGTGTGGGCAAAGAAACCAAGCCACTGACCAACTTCATGTTTAGTACAGGCGGCTCAATGAAGCGGGAACCAAGGTTGGAGACGATGAAAGAAGTAACACAGAATGCCACGCGGTCCTGCCTTAGGGAGCGAACAATCAGCATCCGCTGCATTTCATTGCAGGCATTCTCCCACTCACCTGGGGATGAGATGAGTAGTTGCAGGGAAAGCCTGGGAGAGCAGGGAATGTAAAAAAAGGGCACCTGCAGGGAATGCTGCTAGGAGGCAGATGCACTAAGGGGAACTTAGAAGGGGGATGAAAAATAAAAGGAAGGGCAAGCACACTGGCTGAATGGAGAGAAGGAGAAAGGTAGGAGAGGGAGGCTCAGACGCCTGGGCACCTGGCAGCATAGCCTTTTCCGGGGTGGCGTTGGTATACCACAGGTGCCAGTCACGAGGATACTGTTCGAAGGAGTTCATGAGTCCATGGAAGTTGGTCAGTTTGTCTAACTCTGTGATGTTATCCCAGTAGGCATCTGCGAGCCAACTAGTACATGGGTTATCCATTTGGCCTTCCCGATCCAGGACCTGGGGGGAAGGAGAAAGAGATTGACCCAGAACACTTGCAAAGAAGAGTTACCTTTTTTATTTTAAACATGGGAAATCCAAGATGAGTCTTGCATGAAACAGAATGAAAAAGTGAATAAAGGCATCTGAGATGGATTGGAATCCATTTTTATTCGGGAAATAAATGTGGGGATCTAAGTCTCTCAACTGTGCTGCGATACCACAGTTCAAATTTAAGGAGCTGGCGCCCTCTGGTGGTTGTCTGGTAGTAATGTCTCTTACCATAATAGCAATTGATGGCCTCACCTTTCAAAGAAGCTCAAACTATTTAATAGTTCTTTCACTTATTTACTCTCTTTAACAAATATTTATTGTTCACAAACTATCAATTGTTTTAAACAAAAAATGCAAATATCTTTGCCCTTAAGGAGCTTATTTTCCAACATGGGAGGGCAAATAATGAACCAAAACATAACAAACAAGTAAATTATCTAGTATGTTAAAGATGGCAGTGCCATGGAAAAATAGAATAAGTTAAGGAGGACATGGGAGGTTGGGAGTGCTGGGGGTAGTTTGAAGTATTAAATAAGAAAGTCAACCAGGTCTCAGTGAAGTGAGATTTGAATCAAGTCTTGGAGGAGGGGAGAGAGAGGCCCAATGACACCTGGGGGAATAGTTTTCTGGCAGAAGGAATAGCCAATGCAAAGGTCCTAAGGTGGGATATGCCTGCAAGAGCCACGAGACCTGTGCAGCTGGAGTGGATTCAGTGAGGAGCTGGGCAGTGGCAGATTACATCAGTGAAGGGGCATCCATTTTAAAAGAATCTCTCTTGTCCCTGTGTTGAGAGATCAGGGGCAGGGAAGCATTGGGAGGCTATTGCTAAAATCCAAATGAGAGGTGAAGTGAAGGTGGCAAAAGAAATGAAACTGCTGTTCAAGAGGGTAGGAGAATTACTGGCCCAGGGAAATGTGGTATTGTTGTCTGGCAGTTTCAGAGACCCACTGAGGTTCATGATGGTGGATTTAAAGTCAGTCCAGTGAATGTGGGTGTGTTTTTCTCCAGTAATGTTCAGCTACATGGGCCACACAAGAACAGGAGAGCTGAATCTAACCAGAGTGGTAGTTTTGCCAAGCAAACACAACACGAGTGAGGGAGAAGGGGTTGAAGTGCTTGCAAGGGACACAGTATCAGGGTGACCATGGAATTCAGGCTGGGAAAGAAGTAGCTTGAGAAGCAGTGAAAGAGTGGCAAGATCATGTCAACCATTAGATCATAGGTAAGAGGGGCCCCAAAGCCCTGTGTATAATGTGAGCAAGGGGGCACATGGCAAGTCACCTCCACAGCCCCAGGGAGCTCACCATATACCTGCTCCTGGAAATTCTCCTCAGCTCACTTGATGGAGCCTTGAGCCTTACCCTCTGGGTCTGGAGTCCTCTTCATACTCAACCCCACTCCCAGCCTTGACTACCCCACACTCAGATGTGTCCTCTGCCCAACTCACCACACCCCCACGTAGAAAGAAGTTGTACTCATCCATGTTGAGCTTGCCAGAAGTCTCCAGAATTTTGGCACACATCTGAAAACTGAACAGTAGCTTGTGGCGCTCAAAAAGGGTGCGGCAGGTGTACCTGGAAGAAGGAGACAGGGAGGGTGGAGAAGGCAGGACACTCAACATGAATGCTTACTTAGCGAAGATCATACAATCAGAGTCCTACATAGAAGGACCCTCATCAGCATCTAATTCAAACCTCCCGTAAACAGCCAAACACTCAAGGACCTAGAGAGAACATGTGATTTTCTCAGAATTCACTGCTAAAATCAGTCATTCATTTCCATTAAAAAACACCCAACATTGATTGGACCCCTACTATGTGCCAGGCACTCTGCCAACTCCTGAAAACACAAAGATGAATAACCCACAGTCTCTGTCCTAAAGGAAGTCAGGTAGTGTGGGAAGAACAGACGAGAGAGGACACTGATTATGCTACCCTGTGATGAGTCTTGTGCAGGGCACCCAGGGGCACCCAGAATGCCTGGTGGACACAGGGGAAGTTCCTGAGAGTTGCCGCCCCCAGGTGCAGCGAAGTTATCAAGTGATATAGAAGAGGAAGAGAAGGGAGGACTCCAGGGAGAACTCAGAGAGGATGCAAAAGCAGGGATCAGAGGGTGGGAGGAAGCAAGCATGGAGGGCAGGCGGCGGTGCTTGGACATCTGGTGTACGGTGGGGAAAGGAGAGGCAGGTGGAGGCCAGGTCACAGAGGGCTCTGTGGGCCTCCCGAAGAGTTTAGGCCTGGAGTAGCATGGTCAAATTTGTGTATTTTGAAAGCTCACTCTGGCAGCTGCAGGTGGACAGATTGGAGAGGGACAAAGAGGTAGGATGACCTGTTAAGAGATGCTTGTGAAATTCAGAAAGAAAGATCATGAAATCCTGAACTAAAGTGCAGTCATAGTAGTGGAGATAATAAGGAGGGAACAGTTTGCAGAAAGGTTTATAAGCAAAACCTGGTGACTGATCTGAGAGGCAGAGAGAGAGAAGAGTCAAGAATTTCCACTCTCACGCTTGGGTGACTGGCAAGTGGATGTTGGTGCCATTCAGGGTTGAGGGTAGATAATGAGTTTGATCTGAAACAAGCTGAACTTGAGGGGTCTGTGGACTGTCCAGATAGAGAAGTCAAGTTTCTTCCTGCTCAGAGTGTGACCCACAGACCAGAAGCAGCAGCATCACCTGGAAGCATGTTAGACATGCAGACCCTCAGGCCCCACCCCCAACCTACTGACTCCGAATCTGTATTTTTTTTAAAATACTTTTTTAAAAACATTTTTATTGGGGAATTAGGGGATGGGAACAGCGCTGGGGAATTGGGAGAAGGGGAACAGACAAGTTGCTGTCGTTTTCTTCTTCAGTCTAGTTGTGGAGGACGCTGCTTCACTGGCCCAAGTTGGCACCATCATTGCGCTCTTCCCAGGCGAGGCAGATCAGTTGCCGGCTTCCGGACGGCCGCTCACAGCGGCTGCTGGCCGCTCACGCTGGCTGCTGGCTACACACGGTAGCCCATGGCAACCCACTGCAGCAGGGGCTGCAGCCTACACCGTCGCCAGCGACTCACGGCATCCCAGCTCCAGGTTGAGCTGTTGTTCAGCATCTTAGCTGTGGAGGGCAGTGTCACTGTCCCTCATATGTGGGATCCGAACCGGGGCCCTCTGGCGTCCCAAGCCAGCCCTTAACCAACGCGCCACTCGGCCGGCCCCCAAATCTGTATTTAACATGATTCCCTGTGCTTTATAGGCAAGTGACCATTTGAGAAGCGCTGGTATAGTAGACAGTTATATATACAAGTCTAATGCTCAAGGAAAAGCTAAAGATATAAAACTGGAAATAGCCCACAGGTGATGGTTAGATTATGACAATGGATGAGCTACCCAAGGAAGGTATATGGGGAGGAAATCAGGGGGCCCAAGATGTGACTTGGGAAAACACTAAGGCAGAAGTAGCAAGAAGGGTCAGCATTAGAGCCTGCCACTTGGCCTCCTGCCTAGAGCACATGGGAAGAACCTCAGACCTGTAGACAGCGTAGGTGTGGTATTCATTCAGGTAGTCAATACGGTCCTCCAGCTTGTTGCTGCGATGGCTCTTGTCAATGCTGAGGATAAAGAGGCTGATGTAGGCATCCAGAGAGAATTGGTACATGGGGTCGATGTGGCCCATATCGTTGAGCACGAAGAACAGGACCGATGCCCGCTGGGCACAAGGGCGATAAGCCTGAAGAGGAGGGGGGGGGGAGTCAGGGCCACAGAAGGGCCTGGCAAGAGGCAGGGGCTCAGGGAGGAAAGGGGCTTTAAGACAGCATAATTGGAGTTGCATCTTGATGGCTAACGGGGGGGCTGGGCTGGAGGGCACAGGTGTTCACCTCTCTGGCCAAGTCAATGTTGATCTCTGTGGTTTCACTGATCTCCAGCTGCTCGGTCACCTCAGTGGCAGTAATCTTGGAGGTCTGAAGGGCATTCACCAGCTGCAGGTCATCTAGCAGGGAGCCCGTGGCTTCGTTCAGCAGCCTGAAGGGAAGACAAGAAGTACATGGATGGAGGGGTTAGGAGTACTGGGTTGGGGGGGCAGGGATTCCATCAGCCCGCTGGGGTGCTAGTTGTCCCTGCTACTAGACCAGTGGAAGGGTGGGACAGAGGATGCAAAGTCTCACCGAAGGATCTCATCCTCCAGCTCCTTGAGCTTCCTCTTGCCAGCAGCAATATTGATGACTAGTGAATCCTTCTGCTCCTCCAGCTCAGGGCGCTCCTTCCGGACCACAATGCCCAGTAGTTGGGCCTCCAGGCCCTGGAAGCACCAGGACTCATGGTGAAAATCTCACTCCAGCGACTGTCACTCTTTTCAGCCTTTTACACCTCCCAAGCCCAGGATCTCTAGCTACCCAACACAATCGCAGACTTTTTGTAGATCCTGCTGAACTCTACAGCCCTGCCTGCTTTACCCTAGTTCAGTCTAGGCATCAGCCCCCACCCACCTGTTCTTTGACTGCAAAGTTGACAATAGTGGTCTTGGCTGAGGTCTCAGGGCTGTAGTGGGGGTTGGAGAGCTTGGTGGTGATGTAGAAACGGAAATTAGTATTGTATTCCACCTCCTTATCTCCAACGTGCATCAGCAACCGACCACCTGTACACACAGGAGGGTCAAGGACAAGGACTCCATGTGACCAGGTTCCCCAATCGGCATCCAGTGGCAGTGACTCAGACTGCCCTAATAGCCACAGCCTAGGGCTGCCTGAACAGAAGGACAGGTAAGTAGAGGACACAGTCCAAGGGCCAGCCCTTTCCTCCCCAGTGTCCTACTTGGCTGGTTTCTAGGATTTGTCACACTGTCCAAACCCACAATAAGACTGGACCCTAACCTATTTGAGCTACAGATTTGTTGAGCACAGGGTTGAGTGTGGGGTCCAGATATTCCTGCACGTTCTGGAGCAGCACTGGGTATCCAAACTGGATGGCCTTTTCCAGGATTCGAAGGTAATCTCTCATCTGCAGATCAATAATCTGGAGGCCCTAGAGAGCAAGGGGAAAAGATGGAAGAAATACTGAGGAATTCAAAGAAAAAAATGGCCCCAGAGGAGGAGGACCTCAGGAAGAGACAGGCTTGGGAAGAGATTCCAAGGGGACAAAAGCAGCACCCCCCTCCCCAGCCTTATACCTGGTTTCCTTCCATGTTCTTTATCCACTTCTGGGCCTGGGCCTGAGGATCAATCATTAGGGCCCACCTGAAGAAGGAAATGTCCGTCAAAAAACAGGTTCTGCCCTTACTCTTCCTTGTGTTCCCAGCAGCATCCTTACCTGTTGCCATGGGTGACAATGATGCCATTCTCAGTGGAGAAGGCATCTGAGGGCAACCCTTGGATGTTCCAGTCCCGCACTTTGGTAGGATTGGACAGGAAGTTAGCGAAGGTGAAGCGAGGTGAGCAAGGAACCTGAAACTCCCGAATCTGGGTAGGGAAGAGTCCCAAATTTCACCCTGGAGATCTGAGCCCAGCACCTCCTGCCCTTTCCCAATAACTCTTCTTACTCCCAAAGGGCCTGGTCTCAGAGCCCAAGATCTCACTCATCATGCTGGAGCCTCACCTTCCTGATCCAGATCTGGTTGACAATTTCATCCCGATAGTTGGTCAGGAAGGGTCCCAAGTAGGACAGGAAGGCAGCTGCTAGGAGACAGTCGCCCACCAGGTAGCCCAGGTCCTCCTCCAGGCCCTGAAAGACCGTAGGGGAGGTGTAAGCCTGCCTGGGCCCCCAGCATTGGGAAACACTTGGAATGCTTTGAAGGCATTTTCCCCTGGACGCTATCTAGATCAAAGAATTTCTTTTCCTCTCCTAACTCTTTGTGCCCTGAGAACTCTAACTTGGTTCTAATTATTTTTTAGTTCCCATCTTGGACAGCAATTCTGTTTACATTCCGGTGATAAGGCCTAAGCTTTTCATGAAGCCAGGAGCTCACTGAAGGTAGAGACAAGATGCCTCATGACTGTTTCTATCTGGTCAGTGTGCTATATAAAGGGTCCTCGTGTGTGCTTTCTAGCCCCACCTCAACACGGAAGCAGATCTCTAATGATACAAAACTCTTCCCTTCCACGCTTCTCACCAAATGTGAGGAAGGGGAGGGGAAAAACTCCCATTCCCCATTCTTGGATGTCCCTACACCCAGGTATCCCCATTTTTCCTGACTATTCCTCAACCTAAAGGGGATGGGAGCTCTTAGAACTAGTGGGCAAAGAGGAAGGAGAGCCAGGTGGTACAACTTATCTCACCTTTACTGTCTCCTCCCATCGGGCCTTCTCGCCAGCCAACCCAGACACCAACATCCCGGCTCGCTCCAGCTTCAGCTCCATTTCTTCAGACTTCTTGCGAAGCTCCTCCTTCTGTGCCAGCTTCTCATCATACTGTTTCTTCAGCATCTCCAGTTTCTCAGCCACCTGTGGGGAATCAGAATACAGGGCTTGAGGCCAGACTGTTCTGAGTTCAAATAACCAATCTGCTATTTTGTGGCTGTATGACCTTGGGTAAATTGATCTCTTTGAGCCTCAGTTTCCTCATGGGCAAAATAAGAATTATAACACCTACCCTATAGGGTGTTGTAAGGAGAAAACAAGATAAAATATGTGTGATAAGATGAATTTTTCTTTCCCTTCCCTCCACCACTCTTTCCTTGAGCCTGGAAACTACTTAGTAATGAAACTCAAGGCTGGGTAGGAGACCACCTCTTGTGGCATAATAAACCACACAAGGTATGCTGGCAAGAGAGGATCAGGTAGCACAAACATGACTGCCACTCCATGCCAGAGGTCATACCTAAGGTGGGACCATGGGAGAAGAAAAAGCTAGAAACGAACTCAGAAACTGCTGGACGGAGGAAGAGGGAGTCCACTCAAGGTAAAGGTCCTGGTCCAAGGTCACATATCAGAGATGGGAACCTGGGAAGAGCTTTGCCTACTAGAGAAGCCTCCCTCAATTCATTGCCACCCTATGGGCTCTGTTGAGGTTGGAATATATCACTCAAATCTGAAGTAGATAACTGAATGAGCCTCTTCCACGGCCCCATATGTGTGCCTGACTGGTGAACAATAATTGTGTCTGGGTACACACTGTCACCTGTCCTTTTCATGATAAAGTATATGAGGTTAGCATTACACTAAGTGCCTGGCACATAATATGCACATCATAAACATTAGTTCCCTATCCTGCTGCCATCCCCACTGGAAGAGGCAGCCTGCAAAAGTACAAAGTGTTCAGATCCTTGCCCTACTTTACTGAGTGAGCTTCATCTGGTTGTTGAAGGATAAATGTGGATTGTAGCACAATGCCTAGCACAGAGTAAGCAAGCAGTACCTGGGCCCAACCACTGAGGCTGATGGTATAGATAACTCTCTAAGAAATAGTCTTTAAAGCAAGTGGAGGTTCAAAATGTCATCTTCGAGTTACAGAACAGCTTATATAGGTCAACCAGTGGTAGTAATCTGTTAGAAGGTATTAACGTCTAAAGAAAGACAGTGTCACTCAGAAAGGGCGTGGTCAGCTGGGTCACCCAGAGGAAACTCTGGCTAGGGGATAGGGGCACCCTGGCACCCTCACGTGTGGGTTGGGTTTAATTTCAATGGAAGCCATGTATCTTTGCCGTATGACACCTGTCATCAGGTTCACGTGGCCTCCTTCCTGCACTGAGTCCTGATCATCAGCAACACTAATTATAATTTGGCTTCCCATGGAGATTTGTCTGTGGGGAGGCAGCCAGCCACTTGATGGTTATATATTTCCTTATTTATCTTGCCTGTGGTGTTGTCTTCATGGTTTTTATTTTTTATACAAGAAATATTCATATATGCACAGGGTTAAAACCCTAAGTAATGTAATAAAAGGAGGTATAATTGAAAAACAATAGTCCTCCACCCCATCTTTTCCACTTCCAGTCCCATTCTTCAGTACCAAATTATTCTTTAACTATGGTTTTCTTATTTCTTCTGGTAGTTAACTCCATATCTCTGATATTATGCTTATGCCACTATTTTTTTTTAAAGATTTTATTGGGGAATTGGGGGAGGGGAACAGCGCTGGGGAATCGGGGGAAGGGGAACAGACAAGTTGCTGTTGTTTTGTTCTTCAGTCTAGTTGTGGAGGTTGTTTGCTTCACTGGCCCAAGCTGGTACCATCATTGCACTCTTTCCGGGTGAGGCAGATCAGTCGCCGGCCTCTGGACGGCCGCTCACGGCGGCTGCTGGCCGCTCACGTTGGCTGCAGGCTACACATGGTAGCTTAGGGCAGCCCACTACAGCAGGGGACTGCAGCCTACACCATCACCAGCGACCCACTGCAGCCCAGCTCCAGGTCGAGCTGTTGTTCAGCATCTTAGCTGTAGAGGGCAGTGTCACTGGCCCCATATGTGGGATCCGAAACGGGGCCCTCTGGCATCCCAAGCCAGTTCTTAACCAACGCGCCACTTGGCCGGCCCTTATGCCACTAATTTTAATATATATTAATCTTTTGCAGTTTTTAAATTGTTGCAATTTTAATCTTTTTAATTAAAAATTATGAAAAATTTAAAACCTAGGAAAAAGAATAATATAATACCTATATTATATTATACTATCACATAGATTTAACAGTTGCTGACCTTTTGCTGTATTTATTTCATCTACTTGTTTTTCTGCCAAAGTACCTTAAATTACAAACTCATGAAATTACAAGCCTAAATACTTCATAATACATCTCTCTCTCTAAAAAAAAGGACATTCCCCCCCATAACACCATTACTACACCTAACATCTTTGTCTTTTTCAAAATTTTTTTCTTTTTTTGAATAGTGAATCAACATTCAAAAGGAAAAGCATATACAGTGAATGATCTGCTTTCCTCCCACTCTTGACCCAGTTCTCAGCCCCCAGCCCCTGCCTGAGAGGGAACCACTATCACCAATTTCTTGTGTAGCTTTCTAGACAGAGCTCATGCACATAGTCCATTAATTATAGAGAAAATACAAGCACTGTAAAGGTAGGGCATTGTTCACCACTGAATCCTTACACCTAGAATAGTGCCCAGCACATAATAAATATTTCCTGAATGGATGAATTTTTTCATAAAAATAAATGGTAACATACAACAACACTGTTCTCTACTATTTTTTACTTGTCTCCAAATCGGTTCTTGTTGAGCTGCCTCATTCTTTTTAAAAGCTGCAAAATAACCTTGTGTATGATTGAACCATTTTTCTATAACAAGTCTCCTACTGGTAGACATTTGTGTCTTTCCAATATTTTCTATTATTAATGCTGTAATGAATGTCCTCGTAGGGGCATAAGCACATCTTAATGCTATTTCTTTTTTATTTAAATTTTGTTTACTTTGTGAATAAGCAACTTAAAAATTCAAAAGGCATAGGGCATGAGAAGTCTTCTTCCCAACTCTGCTCCATCCACCCAGGTCCCTCCTCAAGGTAGCCAATGTGACCTGTTTCTTGAATATCTTTCCAGGGACATTCTCTACATGTACAGGTGTATTCTACACTGCTGTTTCCTGGTTTATCAATTCCAGACTCTTTCTACTGACTTTATGCCATGATAAATGAAGAGTTAATCCCTATACCTCCACACCACCATCCCTTTCTCTCTACTCCCAATAGTTTTAGTTCTTCTAGTTACCCTTATAACTTTAAATAACATATTGAACCCTCGCTTTATAACATCTACTACAAACACATTGTGCCTGATCTTTCTTTCACCTCCCCCACCTGCATCCACCTCCCAACATTTTTAGCTATGCTTTTATTTTTACATTGTCAAGGTTGATAACATCCCCACTCAGAAGCCACAAACAGTCTTCTGTTCTTTGCCTTTACGTTGATTATAAAGGTCGAATGCCATAAACAGCACCAATGTAATTATGATCTGGACTGGTGAGCTGCTTGTGGCTGAGGCACGTTCTACTAGGTCACTGTGCATGCCGAACTGGTTGTTAAATATTTTCCTGTTACACCTGATTGTGTGTTTTTTCTTTCAGAAATTCCTACTGGTTGGATTGTTGCTCTTATACCGCTCTTGCTTTTTCTGTTTTTGCTTTGTTTTTGTATTATATTCCTTGACTCTTTCTTCGCATCCTTCTATTGAATGTTATACTTTGATCATTTTTAAATTTGCCAGAATTCTTTCTTTTTCTGTTTGAATTTTTTCTCTTACAATCCTAGCTTTGTTTTGTGAATGTCATTTCTTCCTTAATCACTCTTTTATGATACCAATTTTTGGATTAGGTTTGCTTTTCAAGTTCTTCATTGTAGTCTGAATTATCTCTGTTTAGTTTTTCTTCTGGGGTCATGTTTTGCCCGATCTGATTGGTGAAATTGGGAAGAATAAACTGGGAATGCTCAACTGAGCTCAGGCCCTTTCCTTTTAGGGGTGAACACAAGTTCCACTCTGCCTGCCCCAGCAACGCCAAAAACTGGGTAAGTCTGTCTGAATATGGGGTCACTACTAGTGGAACCACTCACCCACAGATGTCAGCCACATTCTTCAACTTAGTCTTTAAAGGTGATATTTTGGCCTTTTGTTTTCTTAGTTTGTTTAGAACCCAGGCATAGAACAAGGCTGCTAGTTCTTGTATCCACTGAAGAATATATTTGCAGACCAGAAAACCCATTAAGAAGCTTTGGGTGGGGTTTGGGGTTTCCTGTGCAGACTGTAAGGTGTGGACAGGTGTTTTGACTTAGGTGATTTGTAGAGGCTCATGTTAGGCCCAGTGTGGTTGACTTTTAATTGCTGTCACCTGGGTGAAAGACTTTAAGCTGACCCTGCATTATTTTGACCTTGGCAGATGACTGGCTTTGTCCATAGGTGAATGGCTGTTTAAACAGAGGCAGGACTGTTTAAAGCAGGGCAGCTTCAAGGAAACAGGGGTTGGGCAAAAAAAAGATGTGGGCTGCAAGGATGGCCTTAACTAAGAGTAGGTGGGGGTCTCAGGATAAAGGCTGCTATAGTTACAACTCAGAAATGGCCTGATATTACTGACTAGGCTGAAGTGGGGTTAGATCATTTTTAGGCACTGATAGACATAACATTAGATTTGCAACTTTTAAACTGGCAAGGTATTAGGTTTTGTGTATACTATAGATTTTCGCTTTAAATGGTTATTGCCAGGCCAAGGTAGACAGCACTGGATCAGCTGTCCTGTTATTCAATTTTCTACTCCAGGCTAAGGAGGCAATTGTGGTGGCACTAATTTGAAATCCATGTAGCTTGTCCAAAGGCTTATGAAATGGAAATACTCCATTTTGGCTGAGATTCTAGGTGATACAGTTAGAGTAGTAGGCATGCAGGTATTATTACCTAAACCTTAAGGGAACATCCCTGAACAACTTGGGAGATTCAAAAGGGAGGGAAGCCAGGTCTTGAGACACAAATGGCAGAAGACTTATTCTCCACAAGGCCCTGGGGCACAGGCTTCAGAAGCATCAACAGCAGCTTCAGTTCAGGAATCTTCTGGAGGTAATTTTCTAGTTAGAATAACAATGGGGACAAGGTAAAAACCTTCCCAAAGAGGTAGTCTTCATAGACCTCAGAAATTCCACAAAGAGAGGCAGCAATACTAGCCACTGTAGAAAAGGACTGTCCATACCTGATCATAACACAGAGCAGGTAACCCTGAGCTCAAGATGGGAACTTAAATTAAAACGATATACATGGGGTTACCATTTGGGTGATGAAAAGTCTTGGACCTAGATAGTGGTGATGGCGGCACAACATGGTGAATGCACTTAAAGACACTGACTTGTTCACTTTAAAATGGTTACAATGTGCATTTTATCACAATAACCCCCCTCCAAAACAGAAGATATACATATGTGGATTTCCAATACCCCCAACACAGCAAATACTTATTGGCTGCATTATATCTCTTATGTTAATCTATTGCTGGAGGTTTCTCCCAGTTTAAGTTCACGGGTCATGGTTTCCAGATAACTGACATTCTGGTGAAGCTAAAAAGATTTTCTCCATGTATCCTCATTTCTGAAAATACCAATGAGTTTCTACTCTGGCCTTTGGGGCAATAATGACTGGTTTCTGGGAACATAATTGTACCTGGAAGTCCTGTGTGTCTTTTTAGCTCCTTGAATTCTTTTTTATTTTCAAGTGATGCTCATGAGAGACTTGATTTTGAACTAGTATAGCCTCTGAAGTCCTACAGGAACCACATCCATTTCCAGTGAGTGACAGCCCAGACTATAACATAAGGAAACTGAGACCCAGATCCTGAGAACCCCTCAGCTGAGACTGGGCAGAATAAGAAATTGGGGAGGATGGATTGGGGACTTTAAGAATCTTGGCTTCTAGATTTTTAACTCACGAAAGCAAGATAATTTTATTTCAGGTTTTAATTTATTTGCACTTTAGTTTGCAAAGAGATTTAATCTTTGAAATTTAATTTCTCCCTGGGGTTTATATTCAAATTTGTGGAATTTCTATGTATTGCTATTACTGTAACATTTTAATGCTGTCATTTAATCTCACTGCATAACTTCTAATATACTATTTTGGACAATGTGACATATTTGGAGTGGGAAACAGACAAAAAAGTGAATTCTCAACCCTGAGTATACAATTGCCTTGAAGTAGATTAAAATTCTGTTCTGACCCATTTCGGAGCCTTCTGGGGCAATTTCTAAGCTGGTGGACCATAACCCTTGCTGCATGTCAGAATCCAGCCTGTGGAAAATATATTTTCAGGGCCCCTAACAAGTGAATAATGGTTAAAACGCTCCAGTCAGGCTTTGGATTGATATGCAATATAGTTGGGTTCGGGGTCTCTTTTCAGACCTTGGGAGCCTAGAGCTATGTACAGACTTTCCTACCTCTGGCTGGCTCTGACAGGGAAGCTTTCAAAATGCTGATTTCCAGACTCTGAGTACCAGAGATTCGTACTTAGATGGCCTGGGGTGGAGCCCAGCATCAGCACCATGCCCTCTGCAAGTGGGTGGATAAGTGTGCCTAGTTTCAAGGTTCTGTTAAAACGTGCATTTGGGGGGCAGCCGGTTAGCTCAGTTGGTTAGAACGCAGTGCTTATAACACCAAGGTTGCCGGTTTGACCCCCACATGGGCCACGAGATGCACCCTCCAAAACTAGATTGAAACAACTATTTGACTTGGAGCTGATGGGTCCTGGAAAAACACACTGTAACACACTGTTCCCCAATAAAAAAATAATAAAAAGGTGCATTTGGCTTTTATACATCACTGCCTTTATCAGTAACAAAAGAGAAATTCCAGTTCCCTGTCTGCTTACCCTTATCAATTAGGAGTTCTCAAGGGGCCTAACTTTGGGTGCTCTGTAAATGTTTGTCAAAGTGTCAAAGTGACAACTGTTTGTCAATGTCAAAGTGCATGACATTGTTGGCAGCTGACCCCCGAGTTCCCATTTTTCACATGTGAAGGAAACAACCCCTAATTATTTGGCCCAGGATGATTCATCCAGGGGTGAGAAAACTTTCCAAATGGGTCACCACACCTGTGATTATCCACACTTGAAAAACAGAGAGTAAAAGAGGGAAGGTTTCGTGAGAGGTTGGGAGGCTACAATGGCTGCAGGGATGGGGTAACGGAGGAACGTATGCACACAGAAGCCCACTTGCCCCAGCTGGGTTAATTCTGCACAAACAGAATCAGAAGAGGCCTTAAGGGCAGCTTCACTCCTGACAGTAAAGATGCTGCAGCAAGAAAAGACCAGATGAACCATGGTGGCAATGGGATTGAAGTCAGGAAATGTGGGTTTTAGCCCAGGTCTGTCAGTAATGAGCAAGTCACTTAATCTCACTAAACCTCGAGCTCTTCATCTGATTTGACGAGATCAGACCCGGCTGTTCTCCATAGTTGGTTTTGGTTAAAACATTTTGAAACAGTATGACCAGCTTCAGTTATATAAAATTCTTAAACTTCTATGTAATTAAAGACAGCACCAACAAAGTGAAGACCAAAGATCAAAAAATTGAAAACAATGAATACATCCATCAAAAGGAAATGGTTAAATAAGTGATGGTATAGCCATTCACTGGAATAGCATTCAGTGGTAAAAAGGAAGCAGAAACTTGTTAAGTACCAAAATGGAACAATCTTCAACATATAGGTAAATAAGATAGGAAGGTGCAGAACAATGTGTATAATGTAAAAAATCAAATAAAAGCATAGAGCACCCCAGATGGATAAACAAGATTTTGTAATATTGGTAGCTTTCAAGAGAGGGAAGCTGGTGGCTAGAAAGCAGAAGGTGGGAGGCAACCTTCTTACTGGATATTCTTTTGTACCTTTTGAATTTCAAGCCATGTGATTGTATTACCTATTAAATTTATAGAAAAAATTAAATGATAGACTAGAAGAATTTTGAACTCTTAGTAGTAGCATTTTACCTTCTGCCTTATTTAAGAGTTATTTGTGCACATACCAAATACCTTCTGGGTTGTCTAGCCTGCTCATAATAAATAACCACTCTGCTCAAAGATGACCTGTCCCCCCAAGTATTTGCTCAGACACCCACACATTCTTCCTTGTCCACAGCAGTGATGTTGACACTCTTGCCCTATTCCGTCCTATCCCCCCTGCCAGCGAAGACCGATCTGCCACACAGATTTCGTCAGTTAACATCTCAGGGCCCATCTCCAAAGGCCACGACAGAGATGGCCAGCTCCCAAGTCATCTTGCCAAGGGCTCCTCGGGGACAGTGCCCTCTGTGCCTTTGTAACCTTTTGCAATCAGCTTAGCTTTCTGAGCCAGAGGCAGTCCATCTAAACAGGGAATAGCATGAGAGTCAGACAGGACTAGAAGGGCGAGGGGACAGGACTAGAAGGGATAGGGGGGAAAAATTAGATGGGAAGAGATGAATGGTCACAAAGCATCCTGGAAATTAGGAAGAGGGGCCACTGCAGAAAGGACTGGCATCAGGCTTACCTCCCGCAGCTTCTCCTGGGCTTCAGCCAGTGCTGCTTGCTTCTCCTGAAGTTGGGCCAACGCAGCATTCATTCGGATCCGCTTGGGCTCCACCACCCGATACAGCCGCCCGTACATCTGCACAGAGACACCCAGGCTGTGGGGTTGCCCACCCACCCATTCACCCGCCAGCCATTCTTCCTTCCCACCTGGGTCTTCCATCCCCCCAGCTTTCTCCTGTGTGCATTGCCCTCTTCACAGGCCTGCCTCTGCTCCACCACCCCACCACCCCCGCACCCCACCACTGCTTACCTCCATGGCCCGTACCCACATGCAGAGGGACTTGGCAGCAAGGGAGACACGGCCGATGATGTCAGGCTGGAAGTCGGGCTGGGCACAGTAGGCCCCGATCTTCTTCAGAACCTTATCTGATATGTTGTCTTTATCAAAGTTGATCAGTGATTTAATGAAGTTCTGTTCCCCTGTGGGATGAAAATTGGGGGCCTCAGCCAGAAGGCCTAACCACCCACTCTGTGTCCAGGTTTCACCTTCACTGCTTAGGCATAGCCATGTTTCTCCTGGGCTCAGTTCCCAAGGCCAGAATATCTGACTTCCACCCGAATTCCTTCCGCTGACCTTGCTCTTTTCTCTAGAACCTCGAAGTCCCCAGGGCCCTCCACAATCTTCCCAGCCTCATCTCCCATCACTTACCTTGAACACTCTCACCTGAACCACCCCATACATCACTTTTTCAGGCTTGCAGGTTATATTGTCTCAAGGGAACTCAAAGCAGACAAAAACCACAAGAATAAAACAGAAAGACTCTTGTTTTCCATTTTCTGATTCTTGTCCTTTTTAGGGGGAGGATGGGGGGGCAGGCGGCAAAGGCATCCCTGCCCTTGGAGTATGAGATATATTTCTATATCTTTATTACAATTTCTCCCCCCCTAGCCCCCGGTTTTCTTTTGCTTAAATTAAGATGAGTCGTTTTTCTGTTACTTATAACCAAAGAATATTAACTGATATTTGTCTTTTCTTTCCTACTAGGCTCTATGTTCTTAAGAGTCAGTACAATGCCTCATTCATTTCTGTCTCTCAGAGTGCCTGACACACAGCAAATGATTAATAATAAATGTTAAGTGAATTGATGTTAATTATCTCTTGGTCCTCTAGCTTACCTAGCTGCCTCTTGGCCTCTGCCCACGTGGGCTCATTGCCTCGAAGAATCATGACTGCCTGCATTACTATCTCCACTTGGGCAGGGGGCCGTCCATAAGACTTGATCTCTCCTATATCCTTCTTGTTCAGAGACTCCAGGGCCTGGGAAAAGGGATTTACTTAGGAAGCAGCAGGAGTTAACTCAGGGTGCAAGACAGGTCCTTCATGGAGACAGGACCCAGCTGAGGTACCCCCTCTTCCCACAACCCCAGGGACTTTGAGGACAAAGAAGCCCAGCCCCATTCCCTTCCCTGGGCCTTCCCACTGTGATACCCGCATGGCCTCTTCCAGGGCTGGCAATGCCTCTTCTAGATCCTTCTGGGCATTGTCAGCCAGTGCTTTGCACTTCACTTCCTCAATTGCAATCTTCTCACTATTGGCTGTGACGGCCTTGGAATAAAAAGAGGAAGAAGGTTTTGTCTTCACCTTGGACAAAGGTGGGGGTGACAGTGTTGGTGTTAAGGAGGAAAGATAAAGGTAAAGAAAATTTGAGGAGTGGAATGTGCATCCCCTGATGCAGTAACTGATGGGGCCCTGGAAGCCTCTGCCCAGTGGATGCTGATACTAGGTGGGCATGAGGGGCAGAACGATTGTGGATCCCCCCACCTTCTGCTGCTCATCTGCTTCCCGCTTCTGCTGCACAATGATGACCAGGTATTCCTCACACTGTTTCTGGAACTCAGCCACCTTTTTCTTGGCATCCTCCAGCTCCAGTGACATCACTTCCACCTTTTCTCTTGTTTCATCAATCTTAAACAATCCTGTCCGCAGCTTATTGGCCTGGTCAAACAGTTCCTGCCGCTTCTCTGCCAGCAACCTGGGGGACAAAGTAGAATACGGTGCCTGGAGAGGCTGGGCTCCTAGAAAGGAAAGTGCCCTAGAAAGTCTCCCTTCCCAGTATGTCTCAGGTCCCTGTATTCCTTTCTGTTGCCACCATTACCCTTGTCAGTTTTTTATCATTTCCTGCCTGGATGGATCATTTCCAACTGCTTCCTAATTTGTCTTGGTGCTTCCAGACTCTCATCTCTCTGATTTATTCTACACACGACTGTCAATATCAGCTTGCTAGACACTGTTTTCATCACACCACTTCCCTACTTGAGAATCTTCCACTGTTCCCTACTGTGTAGCAGGCAGGGGTGCTGCAGTGAAACAAAAAACACAAACCTGTCCTAAGGGGGTGGCCGTCCCTTGTCTCCAGCCTATCTTTTTCATGTGGGAATGAATGTGGGCTCAGCATTGCCAAAATTTCTGATTTTTAGAGAGAAGCTAGAAATCTGGATTTTTCTTAGGCTCCCAAGTTTTAATTGTTGGTGACTCATTCAAAAAGTTTTAACATTATACAAGCCCCCCCAAAAAATGTCTATGCAGGATTTTTTTCCAGACAAAATAGGAAAATGATTTACAGGGCTTAGCATGATGACCAGCAAATAGTAAATAGACTGTAAGCCTATGACCCAAGGAAGGCAAAGACTTAATTTTGTTTACTGGTATATTGTGAGTATCTAGAATAGTGCCTGGCACAAAGTAGATCGGCTCAAAAAATGCATATTAAATAAATAAATGTTAACTATTATTATTATTACCAATAGCTTTTTCTTCATCTTGATTAAAATATTGAGTCCAATAAATGAGGTTGGTTTTTTTTTACATTTCTCTTATATCCTTCAAAGCAAATTATTTTTGTGTTATGCACATCAAAAAGATACAACTTAATGAATAAATATATAATTGTTGGGAATGGTGGAAAGTCTAGAAATGTTAAAAGTAGAGAGTAGAGGACTGAGTGTGTATACCATGGGTATATATGGCAGTGTCATCATTGTGTTGTGGTTGGAAAAAGAAACATCATTCCAAAAAAATAAAGACAGAAAGAGTGCGGAGAGGGGTCATTGCCAGAGGGCTCTAGAGATCGCCACACCCCCTAAAAGGCCCATCCCTCTTTTATTAACTTCTTGGGCAAAATTAAGACCCCTTCCATCTCTGCCATTCCACATCAGAACCTGGGTCCTTGAGCCAGTTCCCTTGGCTAGCTCCTGGATATTTTCCATTATATCATTTCCCCAATTGTACTCAAAAGACACCAAGCTCCCTGGCCCTCCACATCCCCTACTCTTTTCTTCATACTTCTTATATCCAGACACAAGTTCCAGGTAGTTGGTGGGTGTGACGTAGTTGTGTCTTCGCAGTTCCAGCAGCATCTTCTGAGAATACTGAGCCACTGACCAGTGCATGGTGACAAAGATCTTGGCCACCTTCCTGTGGATCTGAGGCCAATGGATAAAGGATGTAGGACAGAGAGAATGAAGGAAGACCGAGAACAGAAATGGAGGAAAGCTCAGGGGGTGCAGAAAAAGATGGGGACGAGGGTCTCACATTCTCCTGAGTTCCCAGGTCCACTCCCATAAGATACTTTTCAGCCACCTCTAGCAGGGCCTCACTGGGCCACTCCGAGAACCAGTTGATGGTTGTGCAGTTCACCAAGGCTGGGTATTGACGGATCCAGTTCCTGGTGAAGGGTTTTAAGAGGCAGTTAAGTCCATTCACGGACTCAGCCTCCAACTACTGGCTTTGTCTCAGGTCCACAGGCTTTCCAGGAGCCTAAGTGCCCCATCCTCATACTCCTGTATCTCCTTGTCCAGATTCTGCTTCCCTCAGAACTAGTTCACTATAGTATTTAGAAAGAGGTCCTGGGATCAGAAAGACCTGGTTGCGCATCTGCTAGGTGTGGATCTTGGGCAAGTGATCTAACCTTTTGAACATCACTTTCCTCATCTCTAAAATGGGAATAACAAAACTAACTAGAGTTATTAGGGACTCAGTGAGGTGACACAGGTAAAATACTTAGTACAACACCTGGTACATGGTAAATATACCATATATCATAACTATAAAAAAAATAAACAAAACGGTAACCCAAATTGCCTCTCCGTGTAAGTTCTCTGTCCTACTCCTACTTTCTGATTCCCTTAAAAATCTAGCCATACAAAGAATGGACAAACAACATGTGATTTATACATACAATTGAATATTATTCAGCCTTAAAAAGGAAGGAAATGCTGGCATATGCTACAATACGGATGAACCTTGAGGACATGATGCTAAATGAACTAAGCAAGTCACAAAAAGACAAATGCTGTATGATTCTACTTATATGAGAAACCTAGAGTGGTCACATATAGAAATAGAAAATAGAATGGTAGTTGCTAGGGGCTGGGGGGTGGAGGAAATGGGGAGTTATTCAGCGGGTATAGTTTCAGTTCTGCAAGATGAGAAAGTTCTAGAGATGTGTGTACAACAATGAATATGCTTAACACTACTGCGCTGTACACTTAAAAATGGTTAATATGGTAAATTTTATGTTATGTGTTTCTTACCACAATTAAAACTTTAAAAACAACTCCCCTCCCCCCACCTCCCCCCAACATACACACAAAACAATCTAGTCATACTAAAAGGGAGTGGACAACTCCTCTGTAAGTAGCAGGAGCTTCCTGAAAGAAGGCCAGGTCTATGGAAAGGAGATGGGGTGTTCAGGATATAGACACTAGCCCATGGGACCACTCACAGAAGGCATGGGAGGCCAAAAGAGGGGAGGAGGACCCCTGTGGAGAGTGCTGGGCTACCACAGAGAGGGAGAGAGAAGGCTATAAACAGGAGTTACCTGAAGGGGTCGCCCACAGGGCTGAGGCAGAGAACGATGTGCAGGTTGTTGCGCACGCGCTCAATGAGGTAGGCAAAGAGGCTATCTGAGGACTCCGACACCTGCTCTGCTCGGGCCTGCTCTATGATGTGCGTCTGAATCTGCACAGAAGCCACAGAGTCAGAGGGTGGCAGTTTCAATGGCAGAACCAGAGGGGGCAGCAGGTGAGGCTGAGCTGACAAGGTATGGGTTTTAAAGCAGCTCCACCCAATAGGGTCCCTTGAGGGAAGAGGACCAGCTCTTCCACCTAATGGGGGGATGGACACAGGGGGTTTCACAGTAATATATTCTGGAATCTGCTTCTTCAGGTGTTAGTCAGGAAGTCCAAAGAACCAACTGGTCGAGGGCATGGAAGGAATCATACCTCTTCAAATTCATCAGTCTTGTAGAGATTAGGGACCTCGCCTGAGCTGAGGATGTTGTTAATGTCCTCTAGGAATGATTCATCAGCAATCTGGGTGTCCACAAAAAGGAAGGACGTGGCCTTGAGTTCTACTCCAGCCTGGTGGTACAGACGCTTGATATCTGGGTCAGATAAGGGAAGGAGAAAGAGGGGACTGACAGACTCTTCAGATTCACTAGCCTGTCCTCTATTCCTCTCCTGAGATTTAGGCACCCTCACCCAGACTGCAACACACACACAACACCATGCTATACCCCACATGGGCCTGGCACGGCTCACTATCTGGCTTCCATCTCACCTCTCTCTTGTCATCACAGGAAGTTCAGCATCTGATCTTTCACTCCTAACCCCAAACCCACCCCTGTTTCAGAAACTCAGCTGTACCTTCTCGGAACTCCTGTTTCCGGTAATGTTTGGTGACTTCGATCTGGAAGGTGATGTACTCGCAGATGGATGAAGCCAAGCGGGCAAGACTCTGGCGCCCACTGCCCCCAATGCCCACCAAGAGCATGTTGCCCCGAGGTTGTCCAATAACCCGCACAATCCGTGTGACTGAGGGTTGAGGGTGGGGAATGAGGGCAATGAGTTGGCTGAGCAACCTCAGGGGACCTCCAGGCCCTAGGACTGGGATCCCTGAAACTGAAGTAGAGGGACCAAGAGGGGTGGGAAGAGGCTAAGGCCTGAAGCCCTGGTGGCAATTCAACTTTTAATCTCCACCATGTCTGTTAAACACAACTATCAAGGAAAAGCCCCACCCATTGCCACAAGGGCATCTGGGGCCAGGGAGGAAGGTAACTTCCAGGATTTGATTTGAAAGATTTGGGAGAGACCTGAGAAGGGATCTGTATTTCCTTGGAAATACCCCATAATTGGGACACTGAGAAGGGGGTGGGATTAGGGAGTGCTCACTGTGTTCAATAGCCTCTCGGAAGAGCACCAACTGCATTGGCACAACAGCAGGTGACAGATTGTATTCATTTAGAGCTGTTTCCATGGCTGTCTTCAGTGCTGTCAGATCAGTTAGGTCTTCATACACCTTGGGCTCCCTCAGGAAGTCCCCTGGGCCATGGGAAGAGGGGTCAGAACCTCAAACGCCTGGTTTTCCCCAGACTTCTGCAAAGGGCCCTAAGCATCAGGACTCCATGCCCTGACCCTCCTTCTAACCCATCTCCGAAGAGTCCCCAGCCTACAGTAGCCACAGCTCCCAGCTCACCAAAGATAGGAGAACGTTTGTTGGGACAAAGATTATGAAATGTGAGGTCAAAGAAGGAGCCAAGTTTGTCACTTAAGATGGCCACAAAGGCTTCCATGTCTGCCGCATCAACCAGTCGGTCAGAGAAGACTCTGTTGGGAGGGAGTTGAGATGAGATCTGGGAATAAGAAGGAGAATGGCCCTGGGGAAGGAAGCATCAGGGAGGGGTGGAGGCCGGACTTGGAGCAAGGCTGCAGAAGCCTGGATCTGGTGGGGCACAGGCATCTCACCTGAAACATTCATGGATCCAGAGCCTTGTGATACTGGACTTGGTGTCGTGGAAGTCCTTGTTGGCTCTAAGCATGCCCTGGAACACCTGGGGAAGGGGTGTGGCTAGTGGAATGGAGAGAGGGAAGAGATTCCCTCTAGAAATTTTAGTAAGGCCAGAGAATGAGGCATTCTAGGATGGAGGTGATTTGGGGTGTGTGGAATGCTACTGAGGCATGTGAGGAGAAGAGAATGCCTGTAAGGAGGCTGTGCTAGGCAAAAGGGGCAAGGTCAGACGAATTTCACCTTGGAGATGTCTCGAAGGTTGAAAAGGTAGTGGATCTTGGCAGGTGTGGGTAGGAAGCGCTGGACCACAGTGTTGTACACCTCTAAGGTGGCCTCAGTCACCACATTCCCAATGGGCTTCACCTCTTCCTCAAAGTCCTGAAGCTTCTGATTAATCATGGTGCCGAATATTCGGATGACCTGGGACTCCTAGAAACAGGCCCTCAGATTCACTTTCACAGGCTCCTGGCCTTTCAGCCAGGTCTGGGATGAGGGTGAGGTGAGTGAAGAAGCACTCGTCTTGGGGGCAGATTTTAAGGGGCACCAAAAACCCTCAGAAATCAAGAGAAATAACATTTTAATGCAATATTTAAAAATCAAAATTAATGCAAACTATCCATGATGAACAATATGAACATTCTAAATAAAGATCAGTATTATTGATTTTTCTTTTGGCCTCCGGTTCCAATATGGCTCAGCACAATACTGTGCCAATCTTATATTTATTTAAAGTTTTGGTATTTTGTTCATGAATTTTTGGCCTCAATTTTTAAAAAATATATTGCATTAAAACGTTATTTATCTTGATTACAGAATTTTGTTGGCACATCTGAGTGCCTCACTCATGTCATCCTAATTCTGGCATTGCTCTGAGCGCTCAGTCTTGTAGGATTTACTTTCCTTAGCTCATTTGGGCCCCCCTGCATTCTCCACCCACTGGGATGATAAGGCTTTACATTCCAGAGCCAGCAAGCTACACTTTCATCCTGTGGCACCCCTAGCTGAGGAGAAGCAAAGGCTCCTATGGCTAGCAGTCTCTCCTCCATATATTATAGCTCCATGTATGCAATTCTACTCAAGGGTTCCTTGGCCCCACTCCTTGATCTGCCCCCTCATTTTCTGGGACACAATTGGTTTTGCCTTCTACAGTACCCCCCCTACCAGCCCCATTTGCCCTCACTGTGGGAAAGGTCATGTTGATGATGTTGAAGCGACTCTGCAGCCTTGGGGAGATGACAGTCCGTCCACCCCCGGGAGGGCCCATTGCAGCCATCAGGAACATGTCCTGGAGAGCAAAGACAAGATGGGGCAGAGAGACAGGTGGGAAGAGGGGATGAGAGGAGGCACAGAAACAGGGAGGATGTGAAAGTAGCCAGGAGGAAGAGAGTACAAGAAGGGACAAATGAGAAGAGGGAAGGGGACAGAATGAGCAGGAAGAAACATGGAGTAATGGGGGCAGGGAAAGACGAAGAGAAGAA